ATCCACAACCTGGATCCACAGCTTGGGGGGCCCTCAGAGGCTGGTGCAGGGACAACACCTTGAGACCAACATTTTAGAAACATCTCGGGCCCTTGAGAACAACTTCAACTTCCAGAAATGCCTTTTCAGAGCTTCCAGGAGCATGTTTGGTTGGAAAGCAATGTGAGAGGAGACACGTAAAGGATGAAATGAGGTGTGATCACACTTCAGGCTTCATACCAACTGATTAATTTTAGCTCAGAAAAACCTTGGTAGAGCACAGTGAGTACCCGGGATATCTGAGCTTGTTCTTCTACCCAATTAATAACCATGGACACCAAGTTGCAGACAGTAACTAACACTTCTAATGCCATCTTATGCTGGAGGGGTGACAGCTCTAATGCCCCATAGAAGCCTGATGTTACCAGACAAACGCAGCTGAAAATCTAGAAACAAAACTTCACCAGGTCTGAACTGGGGACCAGTTGTTCCACGACCACAAACACCTTCCTCCACACAGTGTTTCAAAATTCTATTTTTGTAGCTTCAAGTAAAAAAAGAGACTTCAGATCCCTCTGAATCAGGTACCAGTGTCGCTGTTCAGGACACTCACTTGTGTTTTCCATCCCAAATTCCTTTGCTTAGGCATGCAGAGAAGGGACGAGGTGACAAGGATACAACTGCCAATGTGGGTATATGGTTCTTTACCAACACAAGCCTCCTCTTTTCTTCTGTATGTTTAGCTTAATGTTTTAAAAGGAGGATTTGGTGACTAGAAAAGGGAAGTGACTCCTGGTTTAACACCCTCCCTGCCTGTGCCCTCTACCCAAGGTGCCATCAGCTCCCTGATCCCGCTGCCCTGCTCTGTGACTGATCCCATGGGAATGGATTCACTCTCCAGCCAAACATCCTGGTGCTGAACACCAGCTCACTCTGTGGATGGAGGGAAGTGCCTTTTTTGCAGCCACCCCTGCCCTGCATTTCCAGGGGAGCAAGGACCCCTCTGGCACTCCTCTCCCCTGCTGAGCAGCTGAGTTACAAGTAAGTCCAAGTAATGAGCTTTTCTCCTGCCACTGAGAAGTGGGAATAATTTCCTCCATCAGCAGAATTGCATAAGCCCCACTCTCCCCATGTGGCACTGCCAGCAGAGGTGTTCTCCCTCTGGCCTTGTCAGAGGACTGGGGGCATTCTGGACCCCACTGCTTCAGGAATTCTTTATGGCAGCTGTGCTTTCCAGCATAGCAACTTAAAGCCAGGGCTAAATTCTCCTCAGCAGTTCTCTGTGCTTTCTGAAAAGTTAAGTGTGTGAACGTGTCAGAAAGACACAAACCATCTTGGTTTGTTCAGCCTGGGCAAGAGGAGGCTGAGGGGAGATCTCACCATGGTCTTCACCTCATGAGGTGCAGAAGAGGGGCAGGTCCGATCTCTGCTCTCTGTGACCAGGGACAGCACCCAGGGAATGGCTGGAACTGTGTCAGGGGAGGGTTAGGTTGGGTATGAGAGAAAGGTTCTTCCCCCAGAGGGTGGTTGGCACTGACCAGGCTCCCCAGGGCAGTGGGCACAGCCCCAAGGCTGCCAGAGCTCCAGGAGGGTTTGGAAAATGCTCTGAGGGACAGGGTGGAGTTGTTGGGGTGTCTGTGCAGGGCCAGGGGTTGGATTCCGTGATCCTGATGGGTCCCTTCCAACTCAGCATGCTCTATGATCCATGATTCTGCAGTGGGATCATCCCCCATGTGCAGTCACTCTGGAGTTTCCCCTCTCCCAATTTCCCCCCTACTCTGTGCAGAGGGCACAGAACACGAGGCCTCTTTGCTGCTCAACCCTGGCACTGACTCCAAGGGGTTAAACACCCCCAGCCTCTGCCCTTCTGGATTTCCATAGGCATTGCCAAGCCAGCACCACAACCGGCCTTGTTCCTGCATTTAAATAAGCCTATGCATTTAAATTTTGTCATTAGAGGCAGCAGAGGAGGACAAGGCCTCCAACAACCTGCTGTCTAAGAATACAGAAGACTGAAGTGATTACAAACCTTTTACTTTCATTAGCAGCAAGGCTTGAAGGTGCTGCAAGGGATGAGGGACATAATCAACCTCATCTGCAGGACTGTTCTTCCATTTCAGACACACATTTACACTCTCTTCAATCTCTGTGCAGGGGGAAGGCTGTCGGTGACACCCAGGCGAGCAAAACCCCAGTTCTCACATTTCCCTCGGCTGTGACAGGGCTTGTTCACAGCAAAGAGAGTTTTGGCAGTGACTCCCAAGCCTTCGGCCCTCAGACTGAGTGCTCAGCTATCCCAATGAGAGCTCAGCCATCCCAGTGAGAGCTCAGCCATCCCAGTGAG